AGCGCTAGGTTGCCGCACCAGATCACGCGTCTTGCCAGCGGCACGTAGAAATGTCGCCCGACTCTCTATCCCTCTCTCCCGCCTTCCTCCTCTCGCCGGCTTGCGCTCCTACGGCACTTCGTCAGGGTTCGCTTGCGGCCCTGAATACCCGAGATATTACACCGTTGCGCCGGCCTGGCCCTCCTGGCGGGGTTGGGCTGGGCCCGCCCTGGCCGTGCTACCCGGTCCTGCCCGCCCTAGAAAGGGGGCAAAGCGGTTGGCTGCGGCGGACCAGGACAGTAACGAAACGCGTCGTCTACTGTTTAAGGGGCTCTCAGGTCTTACGGGTCGATATGCCTTAGCGTTAATTGAGGGGAGAGGAAGAGGGAGGAGGGGGGGCAGGGGAGTACATAGCCTTATCTCAATTAGGCGTCCGGATACCCCATGCTGCCGGCGCACTGCAGTCCAGTTCCAGTTCCTCCACCGGGGCCCTTTGGTGCCCCGCCCCGCCCCGCCCCGCCCCGCCCCGCCGCGCCGCGCCGCTGCGGGACCGAGGGGGGCGACCAACTCAGCAGACAGAGAGCGCCGCTGTGGTGCAAGGCAAAGACCTGCAGGGCAGGGCTCTCTATTCACTCCATTCCTCGAATCGTAGAGATTTCGCGGCGCGCAGCGCAGACTTGCGGGGGAGGGAAGGGGGAGCAGGGCTCCAGGTTCAACAGCACCGCGCGCTCGAGCTGGAAGCAGCCGGCGTCTCTAGCTTTATCTAGCTCCTATCATTGGCCGCGTCGGAACGAGCCGAGCCGAGCCGAGCCAAGCCAAGCCGAGCCGAGCCGAGCCGAGCCGAGCCCAACCCAGCCCAGCCGAGCCGAGCCGAGCCGAGCCGAGTCGGGACGCCACCGCAAAAGCATCGCCTTTGCCGATGCAACTCTTCGCTTCCGATCGCCGAGGCTCTAGCGAGGCTGGGCCGGCCCCGGGCGCAGCGTGCATCGTGCAGAGAGCGCAGCAGCAGCGTCGCCATCGTGCGTCGTCCCCCGGCCCGCGGCCCGCGGCAGCAGCGCGGCACCCTCCAAAAGAAACGACGCGACCAGCCGCATCGCATAGCGAGGCCGCCTGGCGCGCAGGCACGCCCGTCACGCAGAAGCGCCGGGCGGGTCTGCCTACCTCCTCGCGCTGCCGCCAGCCAGTCCAGCCCAGATCAAACGTCGCCAAACACGACAAAAAGAGGCACACTGCCGCGACGACTGGCTGCATTATTGCCGTCCTCATCGCCCGTCCCGCTCAATTACACCCACTTACAGGCCGGTCATTTCCGGTCCGCGGCCGAGAGCAGAATAAGAATGGGAAAAAAGGCAAAGCGCGACCGCCGGATCATTCTCCCGCCGCCGCAAGCTCGCGAACTTGCCGCCGATTATCAGACGTAAGCCGCTGCCGCTGTCTGTGTTTCCCGGTCTGAACGAGACCCCAGCCCCGTGTCCAATCGGCAGAACAGGAGCGGGTTCGCAATCGCAAACACACAAAGGGATTGCGGCCGGGCTGCGGAGGAAGTGCTTACGGCATCGGGAGGGACTCCGGGCCGGGCGGGGCGCCTTGGGGGTGACGCGGAGCAGAGGACGTCGACGAGAGCGCGACTCCAGGACGCATCGTCGAGGATAACGATAACACTGTACCGTACCGTGACCGTGTGTCAGGACCACGACAGGATGCCGGGTGAGCCTACTTGCTCCATCCGTAAGGCGCAATGGCCTCGGCAATGGCCCCCTGCTGTAGGCAAACCCGCAACTCTGTTGTATCATTGGCTGTGACACACGGTAGAGGAGTGGGAGAAGGAGGAGGATAAGAAAGAGGAGAGGAAAAGTGCCACTACTATCGTCGCGCCAAACAGCACGGCCAAAGTGGACGGCAAAACGAACGACCGCGATGACAACTTGCTTCTGAAACACGGCGCCGTGGGCCTGACGGCGGCGCGCCCACCGCGACAATAGCTACCCACTCTCCGACGCGCCCAACCGCTGGGACCGCACGGACCGCACGCCCAAGCAGCGATACCGCAAAGTACCGCCGCGCCGCGCCACGGGCCCGCCAGCGCTCCCGCGGCCGCGGCCGGCAGCCGGGCAGGCCGGGCAGCGCCGCGAGTGCGATCGAAATTGCTAATGCCATCCGCCAGGCCAGGCCGGGCAGGCCCTCGGCCGGCACCACACCAGCAGCACGGCCGTCGCTGCCGGGAGGGACCCCGCCGACGAATGGGTTTCGACCGGTGTCTGCGACCTCCGCGGCGATCGAGTGGGGGCGGACGAGCGTGTCCGCGACACTATTACGCGCCAAAACGGCCGTCCGCGAGACTGTCAACGGTGAGGCTGACGGACATGGGAGTCGACATAACTGATGTCGCGCAGGCACATCCTGGGCGACATGAATCGCAGTACGCAGCAGTGACATTGGGCGACATTGGGCCACCACTGCGGGCGGCGCTGGAGGCGGGAGCGCGATCACCAGGATCGTGACACGACACAGCGAGGCGCACACTGAGAAAAACGTTTGGTCACCACGGCCGAGAAATTTGGTTGCTGTCACTAAAATGGTGTTCAATCTGCCCCCTAAATCATAAACATAGAACGTTCTATCGTGCTGGCTGAGCGTTCAGACGCTCCGACCAAACACTCCAGCCAGCATGATAGAACGTTCTTTGGTTATGACTCAGGGGGCAGGTTGAACACCATTTGAGTGACAGCAACCAAAGTATCCGTGCACCGCTGCACCCCACGGCCAGGGTGTTGACAGGGCTGGCGGGGCGGCAGGGCATGCGGCCCGACCACCAGTCGGACAGCAGTGGCCGCCGGGCCGCGCGCCGCGACGCACGCTCGGGGTGCACAGCAGGGCCAAGGGGCGCGTGAGGACGGCCACCAGGACGGGCGGCAGGGCTGCGAGCAGAGTGCGGCGGGGGGCAGCCCCTCACGCCACCACCACGATGACAGGACCTACCTCAGAGTCCGCGCGCCGTCTCCGCCTCCCGCGGCGAGCCATCCCCCTGGCGCCCCGGACGCGCCGGCGTCCACATTCGTAGGCAGCGTTACAGGGGCTCGGCGCACAGCAGCAGCAGCAGCAGCAGCAGCAGCAGCAGCAGCAGGGTTAGGTGTCCGCCGAGGACACAAGCGCTCACAGACACACGGGCTCCAGGGCGCTGCGGCGGCAGCAGTTAGGGCGGCGAGTTCCGTTAAGCACTGCGGTTAGCACCGGCCATGCCGGCGTGGCAGTGGAGCAGGGCGGTCTGTGCCCTGCCCCTCACACACACACAACACCAACACACGCACACACCGCCCGCAACGGGGAGGTCGGAGATATATTTACGTGCGTCCTCAGGGGAGGGGGCGTAGACAACAACAAACACAGCCCGGCGAGGGCGACAGCGGCCGCACTCGCTCGCTCTCACACGTACAAGCACACTCTTCACCACTCACCACTCACTCACTCACTCACACCCGGTCACTCGCGGTACTCGCCGGGGGCCGCGGCGCGAGCACGAGTCGTGTCTGAGAACGTGCGCGAGGGGGTCGGCGCGGCGGCGGGCGAGGGTCCGTGTGCTTCGACCGGCTCTCTCCGCGAGACTGAGTCGCCGCCGTCGCCGCCGCCGCCGCCGGGCCGAGGCGAGGCGCGCCCGGGCCCAACGCAACGCGCGGAGGGGGGGGGGGGTTGTAGGAGGGGTGGCGCCCCCGCCCTCCCCCGCATTTCTCCTCTATTTCTCTGTTTCCGTTCCGCCCCTCTCACCAGGCCCCCGCCCCCGCGGCGCGCCCGTCCCTGTCCTTTGCTACCGCTTACCTCCCGCCGCCGCCCCTTGGCGTTGGCGGGGCGGGGCGGGGCGCTGCCCGCGGCTGCCCCACGCCATGAACAAGCCACCCTGCGGCGCCGCGCACCTTGAGGCTTGTTGGGGGAGGGGGGGGTGAAACGAGGCGTTGAAACGGCCGGTCAACCCCAGTTCGACCCCTCTGCTCCACACAACCGCTCCGCACTCCGCCCCTCCCCGGATCGGACACCCCGGCTGACTGGAGAGAGGGGGGTGCAATCAAGTCGATGCAGTGGTGAACACGCTCTAACGATGAAATGAGGGTACGAATGGAAAGAAATGTGAGCGCGGAAAGGGAAAGCTCTTGTCTCACCATTGGGCCCTCCGTTGTGCTTGAACCGGTTTGGAAGTAGTGTAAAGGATACTGCCTGTTTAAACAGAGGAACCTACCTAGCCGGAAATCAGGTACCTGTATCGCCGCGCGCACTTTTGTTGTAATACTGTACACATACCGCACTCCTGCGTGCGGATGGGTTGCCTACTCGTACGGAGCGCAAGGGACCATTCAGAGAGTACGTCCGTCATTCGCCGTAACAAACCTGCCAAAGTTCAGCGCCTGCACGCTCTCAAAGCGTCCGGTAGGTAGGCAACATCTCGCCTGCAAAGCATGCGAGTGCTGCGGGGTGGCCTACCGTGAGTCTCACAGGCGCCGAGCTCCCCGTAATTTGCCGGATGTATCTGAGGAAAACGGACGTTCTTTCTGGACGATCCCTTAAGGCACCGTGGTCAGGGGGCGATAGACGCTTGAATGCGGTACACAGTACAATACAGTATACGAAGTGTACCGGGTGAATAAGCCACCTGGTACAGATTCGACGTCGGTGAACGCCGCTCGATTTTTCGCTAGCTACGAGCGCGGACTGCCTGTCCACTTTAGCTTTACAACCACCTCTCCGTAAAATTAGAGAACACAGAGGCGAGTGAGAAAATAACGTCCCCACTCTGCCTGTAGGTAGGATCCTGGAGCGGGGCTTTTTTTCCCCTGCTTCCTTCCCTACCATGGACTTCCACCACACCGGGCGGGCGGGTGGCGCGGGGGGTCACACAGAGATGCGCGGCGGAGATTGGAAAATGGTGCGTATTAGACGCGTGGCTGGGCGCACGAGAGCGAGCGAGAGAGAGGCGCCGTGGGAGGGAAATGTAATGATGTCGCTACGCGTCGCTCAGCCGGCGCCGGCCCGCTCGGCCCGGTGCGGTGCGCTAGGCTGTCCCACGATGCAGTCATACCGCCATGGAGAGCACGCTCGTGCCGGCTCGCGCACGAGAGCGGGGACGGTCCGAGGAGAGGAGAGTCTTACAAGGGAACCTTTTCAGGTGTAAATCTCCGATTTCGTTGGAGCTCGGAAAATTTAAAGGTTATATACTAGACATCGGATTGCACTTGAAATTCTTCCTGAACCTCACAGTTCCTAGGGGTTTACTTAAGCCTACTGTTCTTTTGTCTCAAAGATCCCTCTACCGCCTTAACGGTACAAAATAGAGCAAAACGGACAAAATTTTGGGCCAAAGGTCGCTAATTTTACGAGTTACCCCTAAGAACACTGCATTTCATTTATCAAAAAAAACTTTTTCTAAAACCTATATCCACCTTATAGAGGGGAAAACTAATTGTGAGGTTCAGGAAAAATTGCAAGTGCCATCCGACTTCTACATAAATAACCTTCAAATTTTCCAAGTTTCACCGAAATCGGAGATTTACACCTGAAAAGGTTCCCTTGATAGTCGAGTCTCTCCTGGTCAAGTACATAACGCGAGGGGGTGACTAAAACACAATGTAGTCCTCTTTCGACTCGGTAACAAACCGCCAACTCCTCCAATTTGGCTCCTTGTCGTGCGCGAGGTCGTGCGCCTGCCTGTGGTGGAGCAGAGGCTGGGCCGATCTGTCAGGAGTTCAGGGTTCTAGGCTGGGCTGATGCGAGGGACTGTGTCTAGTTTGGGCACTGGGGGCAAGCAGGGTGAAGTGGGAAGAAACTTCCCAAGGCCGCCGGGGAGGGGGGGGGGGCATACGTAAACGACACGTGTGGGGCCGTGACATCCACACGTGCGGCGTGGGGTCATGTGAGGTCGCGTTCAAATCGAGGGACCGCCTCCGTCGAGATGGAGCCTGGCCGGGGCAGAGACAGGCAGAGGTCAGGGGGCAGTCGACAGGGGATGCTTGAGGGCGGTCCCGAGCGCGGTCCCGAGCGGCCCCCGGGGAGCTCTCGTGCGATCAATGGGGAGCCCGGGAGGCTACCAGCTCGTGGTGGTTCTGACCAACCTGCCTAGGAGGGACCGCCAGGCTGCTCCTGGCCGTTCCCTCGTCAAGGGGATCTGGGTTCTCCTTGCAGCAGCAGTAATGATGACTCGTCTAGTAAACATTAAATATCACATAATCTTTATAAAAAAATAGGCTGCTTCACAAAAATAAACAAACAAAAGGTCAAGACATCACCTTGTGTGGAATCGGTATACCTAAAAGCTATTTACAGTCTACAGGGAGGAATCTACAGTCTGCTTGATGTGGGCTCCTGTTGCTGAGGCTTATTTTGACGAGAGTTTCCAGCCAACGGTTTATTTTTCTCATCCCAAAGAGTAAGGCCATCGCAGGCGCAAATTTTCTTGCTGTTCTCAAATAAGCCTGCTGATCTTGCAATTATACCACAAGCCAGCCTAAAAAAAAAAAAAACAAGAAAAAAAACAGAAAATAATCATTAAGTGTATTTTTATTAACATGATTTATCATACAAACTATAAAACGTGAAAAGGATTGGGTAAGTAGCATCCATACCTGTGACCAGAATTGCCATCCACTTTAGACTTTTCACTTGCACCCAAGCCAAAATCATCCTCTGAATCAGTGACGACAATGGATCGGCCAATAATATCCCACACTTTCAAAATAGGGTCGACAATACGAAAAACAGCCCGTCCATCAACTCCAGCTTCAACATTGCCTAAATCCCCAGCATGCTGTAACAGACGAAAAAGAAAACTATCAAACTGACTCATTAGGTTGCAAAGAAGCCAGATGCAGTAAGTAACAGTAATAAGCCCCTACTCTTTGTGTTTTATCACTTTCTGGACTACCATGATTTACTCCATATGGATTGAAGTGATCGCCAACACTAAAAACAAGAAGTTAAGTGAATCAAAATTCTTGTTCCAAAGAAACAAGTGGAGAGACTGGATAGAAAATTAAGTAACAAACCTTTCACATCCATTTGAAATGTCACCACATTCATGAACATGCAGCCCATGTTTACCAGGACTTAATCCATCAATTGTGCCATCTATGATACAATTTGTTTCATCAATTTGAGTCAAGCGTATTATTCCATGGACGCCAACAGCACTAAACCCACTTTCACCACCTAGCATAGCCACAGCCGCACCAAGATTTTTATGTTCTAGGACACAAAGGAAGAATAATTGTGTAGTGTACTTTCCGCATAATCAACAGTTCCAAATAGTTAACAATATTATTTGAAATAACATGGATAAAAGTTTACCTTTGCTTCCGACACCTCGGAGAATTGCATCTTTTCCAGTAGTTTCTATACGATGTTGAATTTCATGGGATGGAAGAACTGTATCAACAACAACAGAACCAGTGGACAAGTCAACATCAACTGAATGAATACCAGGAATTCCATTCAGACTAGATCTTATCTGTTCAACACAAGAATTGCAAGTCATCTTGACTGCAAATTCAAGCTGGATGAAGATAAATTAAATATCAGTGTTGGTACTCAAACACAAGGTACAAGACAATGAACACTTATCTCTTGTTAATACCTTATTGGACTTCTTCAGCAAGTCCGTATTTCCAGCTCCTCCACCAACACTTGCATTGTTTCCCATTGAAAGTCTGAAAAGGATAGATAAGATGATAGGACGGAAACATTTTACTCATATCAGTGGTAGCTTAAGAATGAGCACAACCAGAGAGCAGACAGACAATGATAACAGTGAAAGTTAAACTATAACTAATTTTAGAATTGGTAAAAATAAAATTGAAGGAAAATAAGATTAGGGTTTAAATGGAAAGCATGAGTTGTCAACTTTGCAGTTAAAGATACAAATTTACATTGATGGGAAGATTGTACATCGTGCAAAAACTTGCGGAACAAATGAACAAAGCACAAGAAAGATGAAATACCTTCACTAAACCCAATGACAATCCGCAAACCACACAAAACACTAGCAAATCAGTGCTAGGATATGCCCTAACCTTCAAAGATGACACCACCACCAAACTTGAGTAGAAATACTGCGAGAAGTAAAATATGACAAAGCAGAGAGATTGCAAAGTTATATTTACTTTTCACCAAGCATGTTTAATGAAATATTTGGAGCAGTAATGGAAATTATTTTCCATAAATCTTGAAGAAAACTGTTGAATTTCCCAGTTGCGTCAAATTGCGGCAAATAGCAAAATAGCAAACAGCTGCGTCTACCTTCTTTTGTTTTGATGTTGTTGTTGTTTGCAGTTGTCAGCTCGTCTGCTGGCAAACACAAGCTCTTTAAAGAATTTAATGTTTGTATGATTTTTCGCAATTGTTAAATAGCTACTTTTCAAAATCGCCGAGGTACAGTACAGATTTGAGTTTACTTAGAGGTAGTTGAAATTTTGTGATCTAGTCGTTCTTTAAAATCATTACGAGGTGCACTTGTCTTCATATGAAAATATCGGGTTGAAATGTGAAAGTATTCCTTATTGGTGTACATAATTCGGTATTAATGTTTTGCCGATACTATCAAAAGTTAAAATTATGTTGAATTTATCTTTTAGCAGGTAATGGCCAACTTATCGGCGTCGGTGGAGCATCAAATGTACCGAATATGACACTTAAATTGTCAAAAAATGAGGTTAAGGGAAGACAGTAGACATCAATGTATGAAGAGGCGAACAATAGGCAACAGCTGATAAAAAATACATTTACGATGGACTCAAGCAGCTTCGAAATTGGGCGGAACATGAAACTGAAGTGGCAAGACCATTTAAACACTGTTTGGTCATCAGACAGTTGTCGTGAAGAAATAATAACAACAAGAGATGGTGTGCAGACACTTTTTGACCGTCTATCTTCAAATAAGGAAGTTGCAAACATTACTGCATCTTCCATATCAGACTTCCAGAACACAGTTCCCCTGCTACCAGATTTCGAAAGCCAGTCTCCTCAGTCCACCGAATGAAATCAACAGGCATATCACTATCTATTTTTCTCTTGTAACTTCCAAATTCTCAGAAATGTTGAGGTACTAAAATGTGCCCATTTTTCTCTTTTCTTTAGATTGCCAATCTACTTTCTTCTCAGCTGGATTTAGCCAGAACAGTGTGTTCAGAAACCCCCTTTGCCACCATTCTTCTACAAAGACTGCTCATTTTAGAAAGAATATACTATGCATTTCGTCATAAATATCACAACAA